CAATGGGGAGGGGAGCGGCTGGTGCCCAGCAGCAGCTCCTCAGGGCACCCCAGCTCGGCACCTGCACATCCCACAGGTGCCTGGGACCCCTTAGGGATGAGCGATGTGCCAGTGCCGAGGGGGAGTAAGTTCTGTCCGCGTGGGTGTGTGCAGGTGGGAGATGAGTCGAAGCCCAGATGGGCCCCCAGGGCCAGGCACAGATGCCCCCCCCCAGCTCCCGCGGCAGCCCCCAGACAGACAGCAGTGGGGCACGGGGACATGGGGACATGGGGCTGGGGTGGCAGAAGAGACCCAGCCACCCTCATCTCTTGAGTCCTCAAAAATCCCTATTTGCCCCCTCTCCTGCACCTCTCCACCCGGCTGCTCTGAGCCATTCCAGGACGGGTGTTTCAGGGAAGAGCAATCTCCAATTTCCAAGACCCCAAGGCTTGGGAACGTCCCCCCACCCCAGCCAGGGTCCATCCAAGCATCCCCAAGCTGCCCCCAGCCCAACCCAGAGGTGCAGCACCTTGTCCATCACCTTCCACCAGCCCCCCAGCTCCTCTCCCCACGAGCCGAGGGCTTTCCCCCTTCTCCGGCTCCCTTTCATTTTCGGTTAGAGACCCCATTATCCCCCCAGCCTGCAGAGCATCTGTGGTCACTCCTTGTGCCCGGGGATGAGGATGGCAGCGGCCAGGGTTGGGGTCTGCATGCTGGTGACTGAGCTGGGGAAGGGGTTGGAGGCCCTACACCCCTTGCACTCCTCTCGGACCACCAGGCTGATCCCGCTTTGTGGCTTTGCTCTCCAGGTTACGGCCATGCAGCCCCCAGCACGGACGGGGGGAAGGTCTTCTGCATGGTCTATGCCCTGCTGGGGATCCCCCTCACCCTTGTCATGTTCCAGAGCTTGGGCGAGAGGATCAACACCTTCGTCAAGTACCTTCTCCACCGCATCAAGAAGTGCCTTGGCATGAGGCGGGCGGAGGTCTCCATGGCCAACATGGTCACCATCGGGTTCTTCTCCTGCATCAGCACCCTCTGCATCGGGGCAGCTGCCTTCTCCTACTACGAGCACTGGAGCTTCTTCCACGCCTACTACTACTGCTTCATCACCCTCACCACCATCGGCTTTGGGGACTACGTGGCCCTGCAGAAGGACGAAGCCCTCCAGAACAAGCCACAGTACGTGGCCTTCAGCTTCGTCTACATCCTGACGGGGCTGACGGTCATCGGGGCTTTCCTCAACTTGGTGGTGCTGCGTTTCATGACCATGAACGCCGAGGACGAGAAGCGGGATGCCGAGCACCGGGCGCTGCTCACCCGCAACGGCCAAGCCAGCAGCATCCACGCCG